TTCAGGCACTGGCTTTTGTGGAGAGCTTTTGATTGTCCCGTTGTTTCGCGGAAACATTGCTTAGAAGCGCACCGGTACAGGATTTGTGTGCGGGTTTAGATAACACAGGCGTCTTAAAACAGCCACATGGGAGTAGGCTAACGTTACTAGACAGAGAAACAGATTGAGGGCATGTAACGCCTATAACTCTCAGTCACCCTCATTATGTAATTTCAGATGAGTTGCTTTACAATAGATTAATTAAAATGTACTGGCCTGCAGATAATGGAGAAATTCAGTGCAACATGTTTCTCTCTATAGTACACCTAGTCCACTTACAGAAACTGAACTGTACACTGTTCATCTTTTAAATTCATTTGCAGTAATGCACACGTCCAGTGGGTCAACTTAAAATCAAGAACCCAAGGGCAAAATGTGATAAGAATGCTGCCATTTATCAAACAGTGAGTGACGAAATCTCAAAGCTGATAATTTATCAGTCACTTTCACAGAACATTATAGGCCTACAGTCATTTTGTGCTGTCATTGTCTTGTCATCATAGCTCTAACAAAACTTAATTATTCATTCTACTTTGTCTACGTAAATGAAGTAAAGTCATGATAAAGAGTATCCAAAAGTATTTGGATAGTTAAGCTACACCTAAAAATGTATGAATGTCACTCATTATGTCATATTTACTCCTGTCGCTCCAAACCTGCATGACTTCTATGAAACACAAAATATATTTTGAAGAATATTGAAGTGGGAACCAAACAACATTAGCCCACTGAATGAAAAAAAAAAAAACTGACATTCCCTAAAATATCTTTTTAATGTTCTCAGAATAAAGTCATACGGTTTTGGAACGGTGCATGGGTGGAGTATCCCTTTACAGCATATAACACAAGTACAAATTTCAAGCAAATCATTTCACAAAAATGAATTCATTGAGGTTTTAAATTAAAAAACAAGAGTAAGACTAAGTATTTAGACACTTTGTGGTGCTCTTTAGTATAGAAACTATTCGGGGCCACTGTTATGTTTTTATTAGATTTGACTACTACACTGCATCATTTTCATAAAAAAAGAACCACACTGTGGTGCAGAGATTATATATCATATAAAGATATATATTCAATGTGTAAGTGTCCGGAGGGAATAGTGGGATACCATGACCATGTCCTTCTTTTACTGTGTCATAATGTCCCTTATGATGGACAGGATGGTGGTTTTAAAGGTAATCATCATAGCCAGATTCATCCTTGATGCCAGCTGTAAAATAGAAACATGTCTGCCATATAGTAGTCTTTTTAAACTGAGTCAAACAAATTAGATTTAGACAGAGGAGTTACCATTATAATGAAACGTTTGCTTCATTCTAGCTGAGGAGTGATCTTTAACCTACAACAAACACATTTTGATATAAAAATGATATGAAACGGGTATTTACATACATTTGGGTATTTCATACAGTATATGAGCATACTTACAGCTGAACTAAGAGGGGCTGTGGGAGCCTGGTACGATGGAGGGGGTGGAACCCCTGATGGAACAGCAAGGGTGGAGTCAAAGTGTTGCATGCTAGAACTGCGATTCAACTTGAGCATGGCTGCCCTGGCGTGAAGGGGAAGAGGTGGGAGGGGCCCTTTCCTCTGGGCGAGCGAGATCGACTCTTCGTTATTGCTGGAGAGAGTCTGCGATGATGAGTTATTTATTTGGCTGGACTTGCTCTCTGGAAATGTTGCATCTAAATCAAGATGGTGTTGAACTCTGGATGCACTTCTGAGAGACTATATGACCAGAGAATCAGAACCCAAATATTCTACACTGAAAAACAATGAACGATTTACTTTGAAACAATTCTCAGAACTAGCTAGTAAATTTCACAATTACAAACAAACAGTAAGTAACATAATTTCTCGTAAAACATATTCCACTAATCTTTTGTCTAAACGTTGAAAATGTCATGTTCTCTTACGAGAGGTTCTCTTGCATTGCATAAGTTTAGTATCTATTGTCAACGCAGTGCAGCAGCTAGCAGACCTAGAGCAGGCTGTCTAGCGTGCTCATTGGCTGTCCTGCGGCAAATGCAGCAGCCTACCAGAGAGCCCGACGTGATGTCGCGTTCAATGAAGGGCGCTCGCGCCCTCAACGTGTCCTAGCCCACAAGAATGCGCATGGCTTAGCGTATATAAGCGGGGCTCGAAGGCTGAATCTCTGATTTTCATTTTCATCCGGATCGCTGGATCTGCTAGCCGCTGCACTGCGTTGACAATAGATACAAAATAGGATAATTTTGGGCTTCAATATCTCGAGAAGATGAATCTTTCCCGTAGCGTAAGCTAAACTTACGCAATACTTGTTCCCTCATCTAGAGAGAACCGACTCGAGGTTACATTAGGTAACCGATTCGTTTTACAGTGTATATAATGTAGATTTCAGCGCAGAGTCCAAGGTGTCCTGTCTGTGTCTGTTTTGTTTCTCACCTCTTTTGCACTTCATGTCCTCTAAGACAATTGTTAAGCTTGTCTTTCCAATCAGAATTAGCCCCCACACTGTATCTGCGTGTAAGTACCGATTGAGATGCTGGAGAGGAGAGAAACAGGTGTAATGGGGCTTGGATAAACATTATTCCTTATTTGATGTGATTTGTGAGGAGTGTTCAGAGGGTCAGACCTTTGTTGTCACTGATCTGCTTCTGCATAGCAATGTAGAACTGCTTGGCCTCACCTTCATCCGCAAAGTTTATTCCTATCTGACACTCCTGCATGAACACACACACGTTTGGTTTCCATCATGATGAAGACTTTCCATTGACTTCTTGTTCAGCTAACAATATTTAAAAAACCCTAAGTCCTAAACCTGAATGTTACACAAATCTTTTAACATTTTTAAGGCATTTAGTTTGCTTGGTTGGTATCCATAATGTAGTAAAAAACTGATGCATATAAACACGCTTACTCTACAGAATCTAGAGTATAATGCATTTGTCACTCACATCACCAGGAAAGGTGTGGAAATAAGGACAAGTTTCTGAGTACTCAAATGGTGTATACAGCTCCTGTTCCCATTGCAGCTTAGCCTTTTGCTAATAGAAAGAGAAAAAACTGTCACACAGAACCTGAGATATGAGGTGGTACCAAAAAAGTAGTAGCATCCCAATAAGAACTGTCCTAAACATCCAATGTAGAATCATTGCACAATGGATTGAAATGGAAATAGGGCAGACAATCAATAAAGATTAAAGGGGTGCTGAATTAATTTTTTTTGTTCAGCAGAAGGGCAAAATGTACATTTTTGGGTGAACTATCCCTTTAATTTAAGAATTTATTGAAATGATTTCAACTGTTGATTCCTATAATTTTTTTAGAAGGAATTATTTTACCATTTGAGATAAACACACTGAGTGGGCAAGCGCTCTCTGTAATATCTGTCAGCCTCACCTTAAGACAGTAGAGTCTCATGAATGTTGAATGAATGAAGGTATCTTGCACCAGACATAAAACTCCAAAACTGTGACTTTTCCACTCCCTTTTCTCTGCAATTACCAGCTGGACAATACCACATGCTAAAACCTGTAATGTACACAAAGAAACACAAATACAGTGTTTAGCATAAGTGAACACACATTATAAAGTTGACTACCTAGTTGAGGAACCTTTAAGGACACCATTTTTTGTGTGTGAATGAATAATGTATCATATAAATAAATAAATGCAGTGAGCATAAGTCAGGACCCCCTGTGATAAATTCCCATAGAGGCAGGCAGATTTTTTTTAAAAGGTCAGTTATTTCATGGATCCAGGATACTATGCATCCTGATAAAGTTCCCCTGCCTTTGGAATTAAAATAGCCCCACATCATCAGATACACTTCACCACACCTAGAGATTGGCATGGTTTTATTTCAGTTAGCCTAATAGCTGGTTTGATCTGGTTTTGATCTGCATTGAGAGAAGATATTATGGAAATTACCCCATGCCAATCTCTAGGTATAATGAAGGTTATGTGACGATGTGGAGCTGTTTTAATTCCAAAGGCCAGGGGAACTTTATCAGGATGCATATCAGCGGTGTAGTTGTGCCATGTCTTTTTGTCTGTACAAATACGCAGTTTGGTCGAAATATGCTGTTTGCATAAGTTTGCATAGTTGAAAAACAATTTTATGAGGCCGCCCTGGCTTCTACGGCTCTACTTGTGAATTATTAAAATAACCATCATGTGTTCTTTCAACTAACTGGAAAAACCAGTGATCAGTTAGGATCAGGATGTGTAAGGTCTGCAGTAAAACATTATGAGCATTGCATAAAAGTTCCAGAAAAAGTGAAACAAATGCATGAAAAGAGCTAAAAAAAAATAACCAAGTGTTTTGATATCCCACTGGGTACTGTGGAGTTGGAATTAGACCCTTTAGAAAAAGAAACACTCACTTGAAAACATATACAACACACAGTAATGTGGGATGCAATACAGACCTGAAACTGTTTGTTATATATTCTGAATCTCACCAAATTATGTCATAGAATTACATTTTAAACAACACACACACACACACAATAGGCTAACAGTGAATTATGGGAATGGAATAAAAGCAATTCCTGCACAATGTATGGGTTCTTTTAGCAATATGATATTTTGATCAATTGATGTATAACAAAAAAAGTGAACTTACACTGCAATCATAACTAAGTAAACTGCAGAGAAGGCCATTCTCTCGAGTCGACAGGAGCGGACTCAAAATCCGTGACATCTCTTCGTTTTTGACGTCTGTCTTCTACTGTGTGCCGTTTGTGTTTTCTAAATTCACAGCTATCCTGATCCATATCAAACAAATCAATCTGCATCATACTTCCTAATGCAAATATCCTGACATAAGGAAAAACAACAGAGCTCTATTCACAAAACACTCACACACACAAGTTATTTGTATGTTCACAATTCATTCTATACATAAAAAAACAGTATGAAGAGAAGATTTTACATTTTAGTATTTATTAAATCAAAAATGGCTGCGTGAGTCTACTTTGCATACATGTATGAGAATAAGTTGAGTGACAAAATAAAGACTTGTGTGGCTAAAAAGAGCAGCACATCTATTTGAGTTTTTCGGTCGCCATAATGGTAGAAATTAGGAATATTGCAGTACTTTGTATAAACGATTTATTTTGTTGCAACTTCCGTTTCATGTCGACTTCATATAGACATTCAATACAGTCAAAAATGTTCTAGAGAGAGTACATCTTGCGAGCTTCTATATCTCCAGAGGTTGAGTATCCTAAATGATTTACGGGCCAGTTTCCGGGACTTGGCGCAACAGTACGTTCAATACGCTGAAATAAAACCTTTGCAGGAGAGTTTGTCACTACAGGCAGAAACAAGCGCACATGATCTTCCTTTCCTGGCCAGAAGGCATTAGGGTCCGCCCAGCAAATTGACTGCTTCTTCCTACAACACATATACAGACATTACTCAATTCAAACACTCTTATTTAAAGCATAGGCCTAGGTAAGATGTTTTAATGTTTTTAAAAGAAGTCTCTTATGCTTATCAAGGCTGTATTTATTTGATAAAAAATACAGTAAAAACAGTAATAAATGTAAAATATTTTTTACAATATAAAATACCTGTTTTCTATTTTTATTTATTTTTAATTTTAAGATAGCAGCCATTACACCAGTCTTCAGTGTCACATGATCCTTCAGAAATCTGATTGTCTTGTAATTTCTTATTATTAGCAATGTTGAAAACAGTTCTGCTGCTTAATATTTTTGTGTGGAAACCATGATATATGTTTTCAGGTTCCTTTGATGAATATGATATATATAAGATTTTTTTTTTTGTCATAGAGAGACTTACATCGCTTTGTGGCCCTTTTTTGCTCCACCTTCAACTCGGTGTGTTTTGGATGTCCTGAGTAATGTCAGGACTTGTTCTTGTCCACCACAGCCAGACAAGTGACCTTTTCCTCCCAATTTGGAGCTGCTAGACAAGCTCATGTCAACAGGGTGCAACAAGACTAGAGAAAGATATACTGTCAGGTTACATTTGTATTCTGGATGTATGTGTATGTGCAATTTCTATAAAAAAAAAAAAACCCATACCTTCTGTAGAGTGGCTTGGCTCACATTAAGCCCCTGACGTTGGCATTGCTCAATAGATTTGAGGTATTCTCTAAAACAAAGTGTCCTAAAACGATCCACTTCTCTTCCCATACTGCCACCCAGAGAAGAAGGACAAGAGGTCTTGGTGGCTGCCAAAACTCTCCTCATGATCGCCAGCACCTCCACGTCCTGCATGCCCATCTAGAAACATTAACATCCAAAGAGCTCTATTACAGATGTAACATAACTCAACTGACATATTATCAGTACTGTAATTAATATTCTTTGAATAAAAAAACTATTAGTAATATTTAGAATTGTGTGATTATAATTATAGTTTTAATTACAGTGGTGGGAACATGGTACTGTGATGGTTTCTGTTGGTAATAAAACACTTTAATTTACCACGGTATTACATGATTACCATATAAAAGTATGTCAATAATACCATGGAATTATCACCATTTGTTGGTATGATGAAAAGTTATTTTTAAAGCATAATCTTAACAAAAATGGACTGTAATTGTTTATACTTTTATGTGTTGCAGTACCTCATCATCTTTCTCCTCTGAAATTGCATGTATTGGAAGATGGTGTCTTGTCCAAGTTGCTTTCTCATGGTCTGCGTTCCAACCTAAACATAAATACACAATGCCTTATGCTGTTACAAACTGAAAGAAATAATGTTCCTACTAAGAACTATTTAGTTTCTCCCTTTACCCCTTGACTAATAATATATACCAGCATTTGATTTGTGTTCTTCCCTTTCCCGATGCTTTCCGTTCCAGGCCTGGATCCCAACAGCCAGGTTTTCCACAGTTACCGAGTTTCCATCCTCACTATTTAATGAGGACATCAGCACGTTCATTCGCTCAGGCTGTATGAAGAGGCCTTCCTACAAGCCAAAACACACTTTTTACTCCTACAATGTTCTTAAAAGTGTGCAAAATCAAAAATATAAAAAATAAATAATTGCCAACACTATGTATTGCACAGTGATCACCTTCTTAAACAGAGCACAGAGATCTACACGCTTTAATTTACTAGTCCCATACGAGTCCAAGAATTTGGAGAGATTGCATGCTTCGGGAGCGCGCAGAAAGCTCTTCACTTCTTCAACTTCACGCCTGAGTGCACGCGGAGACTGTGATATAAAGACAAAATAAAGGTAAAGATAAAGGTAAAGATAAAGGCCTTTTTTAGCCACTTTTCTAGTTTGTAAACGTGATTCTATGTATCAGTATCTGTATCAAAATATGTTCTTACAGTTGTAACATCTGGTTGAGGAGGGAAAATTATTGTTTTTGAAGGGGATGTCATGCGCTTATCTTGACTGTCTCGTTCCGTGATGAGAACCTCCAGTTCGGTGAGAATCGGTTTATTATGGAGCCATCTGCGCAGATCTCCCATACCGTCAAGCGCTTCTCTAAACGCTTTCCTGTCGCGGATCCAGTCCGGGTGTTCCGCGGGCTTGTCTCCAGGCAAGCGCGTGTAGAATTCAGCAGCGCCTCTGATGTCTGATGTAGGTATTGCAGGTCGAGCCGCGTCAAAATGCTTCGGTTGCGGTCGAGTCGGGGGAGAGATTTTTACCCTTTCCATGATATGGTTCCTAAAGGCACTTCCACTGCATTTTTGTGGTTTAAACGAGCCACATGCCATTTGAAATAGGTAATTCTCTGTCAAATCACGTTTTTTTAACCGCCTGAATTCCTCTTCCAGCGTCTGTTCACCCAGTAAACACTCCGTCCCCAGAGCCATTATTGAATTTTTGGCTCTATGTAAGAAAAAATCTTAAAGATATTAAAATAAAGAGGACGCTAAAGTGTAACATATCATGATTTTTACAATTTGAAACGCCACTCGTTTCTTGAAGCTGTGTTAACTAAAGTCTATTGGTGGCATGTTGACATTTGTATCCATGACTCCCATTCTGACTCAAAGGTCAAACAAACTTCAAGTTTTGCATCTGAATAATACTTTTGTTTGTAGCACGATACTACCACAATAACATTTGACATTTACTAGCTATAATTGCAATAGTGCCAAATAGGTAGGCTACTTACAATTTGGCCCCTTGTAATTTATTTTTCAGGACCATTTTTACCTTTATGGGAGCTTATTATTTTATAACCATATAAAATACACATCAGGTACCTCAATTACTTAATTTAAACCAATTCACTGAAATACATTTTCAAAACCGAACAATTATAGCTTTTAATTGTAATCATTCATGACATCAAATTCAAAAGTAAAAGTAAATAATGGACTAGTTCAGAGTCTATTACAGTATATATTACAGTCTATGCATTCGATTGTCCATCTTTCCTGAGTGAATAGAACAGTACTTGTGAACTTTTTTTTTTCCTGGTAAGATAAGATGAAAGCTTATAGACATTCTGTTGCATATTAATATTAATGCATAATTTATTATTTAAATGTGGAGTTTAGTTTATCCCAGCAGTGCATGATCCAGAATGTGTTCTTCCTGTACTGGGTTGGGCATTGTGACTCTTAGCTGACTCTGATCCTCCATGGTACGTTGAATTGCCTCATAAGCATTAGCGTTGCCTGACCAGCATCTCCGTGCCACCTAGTGATATACACATCAGTATTTACATACAGTATAATCATGTATGCATTTATATATATTTACACAAAAGATAATCACCCCATTAGAGACATCCCAGTTCAACATTAGTCTAGCTCTCTGTCCTGCCTCTTCAGAACCATCCAGAACCAATCCAAAACCACCATTTATCACTTCTCCCCTAAAAAAAAAATCAATATCGAGTCAATAATTAAAGCACTAATAACTAATATCTTTTTTATGGTACATTTTTATTCTTTTTTTTTTTTTTGCTCAATCAATAATACAAAATAGCAAGAAATCAGTAACATGTTTTATCTATAGAAAAAATCATCAATAACAAATCAAATCTCTACATACCATCCAACTCCGCCTCCATTGTGCAAAGCAACCCATGTGGCGCCACGGAATGCATCACCAACAAAATTCTGCACTGCCATGTCTATAATAAATGCAAAGACATGAATCTATTAAATAGTCTCTATGGAAAACTTAATGCTGATTGGTCAATCACAACATTCTATATTCAGATATTTTGTATAATGACAGCTATAAAGAATTATTTACACTTAAATCATGGTAATTTATTTTTTGTTCTCTAAGTAGCCATGTAATTAGCAAGATAATGTATATTCATTCATTATCGCACAATAAACCCTCTCAGGATAACACAACACCCCTCCTAATCACCTTCTCAGCTTTATTTTACAATGTCAATATGACTGTACATTATCCCTTACTTAGTGTATAGTTAGTATGGTGTATGAGTATGGTTATATACAACTTGTAGTTCATTTGTATATCTGCACTATGTTCAAAATTATTATGCAAGTGACATATAAGTAGGATTTTAGTACAATGCACATTCAGATATTAGTTTTTCAAAGAAAAGGTTTGTTTTACTTCTCATATCTTTTTAGATAACTGGTATCAATCTCAGACAGGCTTGTTCAGTAGTTTGCCATGTCTTCTTTTAGTTTTCATGCAATATGGGGAGGAAAAAAGATCTTTCTGAAGATGAAAAACCTGAAATGGTGCACTGTCTTGCGAAAGGAATAAAAAAAATGAGGATTTTGATTTTAAATCAAAAGATTTGTGAGTGATTTAGACTAGAGCATAGAAGAACTCAGTCAGATAAAGGGTAATTAAGAAAAGTTTCTGTCAAACAAAAGGGTTTACAGCTGTTCTTTAAATACAATTCATTTGTTTGACAGAAACTTTCCTTTAAAAAAAAGCTTTATCTGACCATGTGCTTCTGTGCTCTAAGTCTAAATCACTCACTATTCATTTTTCACAAAATATTATTTTTTTACCTTTTGCGAGACACTGCACCTTCTCATGCTTTTAATCTTCAGAAAGATCTTTCATCCTCCCCATATTGCATGAAAACTGGCTTAATAATAATAATAATAATTGTTGTCATGGCCAACTATAACCATCAAGCCCCCGCCGGCGCTCTGAAGCGTTTTTTTTTTTATTTAGTTCAAAGTTACTATCAGATTTAATGTTATACCTTGACAAACTATACATCACTAAAAAGATATAAGACTCAGGTTTCAGTATTTGACCACTATTGTATTGTGAGAAACGTATAGTGACAGTTATGTCTTAATTTGTTTCAGGAGTTATGAAATGAAGAAAATTAGTCGATACCTTTAATATGAATTATGAGCGTCAGCTGGTGCATTCAGAAAAAAAAACTCCGTCCTGTTTTCATGACAGCGATTCACAAAACAACTTCCCTCGGGGATTTAGCTCAAAAATGTGTAGACTTGGAGAAAATATTGATTGATTCTCATAGATTCACATCATATTTCTATAGACAGGAATACTATTTATTGAATTTATACTAAAATGCGTCGATATAATCATTATGAGCGCTTCTTCCTGAGATGTGCTGTATTTTCAATTCATACCAAAAGCATGAGGGCGCTGTCTGCACAGTTTATTCCATATATGGCACATGAAGAACAAAACATAACTGTCATGTGACAGTCCAGGACCAGGGACTGCTGTCATGAACTGCCTGACGAACTAACAGAATCGCTGTAACATGCAAATAACTACGTTTTGAAGACAATAAACATGATTGCAATTATATTTGAGTTACCTTTGTTCTTCGAGCCATGCCAGGTATTTTCATAATAATAGATTATATTTATAATGTAATGCTAATCGATATAGATTTTTTCATTGTGCACAATACAATAAATAATATATTTTCGGTCAGATTTTTTATCTGAAGCCAAATTAGATCACAGAAGATTATATAAAACACTCGACTTACGTTATAAAGTAAGTTTGGAGCAAAACATGGTTTTAATCTCATAAATTGCCGTGTATTGATGATGTGCTAAGCTAACATGCTAATATTAGCTCGCCAAGGTGCACCTGTCATCACTAGTCTAGAAGTTATTCTTTTATGATTTTTTCCCAAATAGGAATGCTTACTAAAATGTTTCAGTGCATTCGATTCAGTCACAAAGGTGGAGCTAGCACTTTGATAAAAGAAATTAGGGTTTGAAACCCTATGAACAGCTTGTGAATAGCAGTCGTTAGTAGCTATAATGCAGACAATAAAAATGCATATGTTGAGCCATAACCAGTCTGTAAAGGTGTGAATGTGTGCATGGGGAGACTGAGACTGAATGGGGCTCGTTTGCACCATAAAACAATAAAGACAATAGACTGAATAGATGACTTAGAAGATGACTAAACATCAGTTTGCATTTTAGAGTCTAATCAAAATAAAGTAATTTGACATGATCTTGAAAAACAGGCAACTAAATACAGAGTTTTAGACTTATCATTTTCAGATTTTAAATATAAAATGGTCACACATACGGCTTTAGCTGCAGTGCATTTCTAGATTGCTACAGGGCCAACTTCAATTTTATTTTCATGAAGATGTTTCATAAAAATAAATTTCTAATAACTTTACAAAACTTTGGAGCTATTTAAAAAAATGTTTTTCATTATGACAATAAAAAATTCTACATTTCCAATAAACTACTAGGTGTAAGCTTTCAAATGAGATCATAATTGTGCTTTTAGTGCAAAGGGTTCATGAATTGTATCTGTTTCAGTTTGGGTATGTCATTTCTGGGGATTTTTCAAAAGTGGATTAAAGGTTAACAGGTTAACATGGCAGTCATGGCAAACTACAAACCTGTCTGAGATTGATACCAGTTATCTAAAAGTATAAAACAAAAAACACTGTAGTTGAAAAACTAAAATCTGAATGTTTATTGTACTGAGATCCTACTGATATGTCACTTGTATAATAATTTGAAAGATGGTATAGATGTGTCTTTGTGTACCTGCGCAGAAGGCAGAGCCATCATAAACATTGGAGGTCTCCCTGAAGGGGCTGTCTGTCCCACTGACATCATGATGATCTCTACTGATGACTACTGGAGCCTGAGGGGGGGGGAGGAGACAGTTGCACTGATATGTTGCAAAGCGTGTTATAATGAATCATAATTAAATGAGTTCAGTAGTATGCACACGTAAATTACCGAGACTTTCCCTTTAGCAATGGCTTGGTTTATTGCCAAGGCAATGGAAACTCTTCCTCTCTGGTCCGAATAGAGAATACGGGCCTGTGAACCCACAACCTAAACACAAAAGAGACCACACAAACTGAACACACAAAACAATATAATACAATTTATTTATTTAAAGTTTAGTACTTATAAAACTAACTTTGAAAATAGTATCCTTAATGAACGCCGTTTTATTTTACATGGAGTAGGTCACCTCATGGCAGGAATATTGTAAGGTTTTAGTTTTAGTTAACTATAATAACCCTGCCTCATGGTGGCCGACATGTTGAAACGGCCAGTTGAATAATACTTACTGTATAACCCACTTACATTAGACACTTTTGTGGACTGAATAAATTAATTTAGGCTGAATAGCACATTTTTACAATGGCATTAGTAATGTTATGCTATGTTATAAAGTGTTATTCTGCAAGTGCAAAATCGATGGGTAAATAAATTAATGTGACTTCAAAATTAATATGATTTTTTTATTTTATTTAGAGTTGGGAGTCTGTGAGCCATACCATCTTGTGTTTCCCAGCTTCACGTATCCAGCGGATGTTGTCACTATATTGCTGTCGGACACGTTCAGTTACTGTGGAACTTATCTCTTCTAATACAGCAGTGGCGATTGTATCAGTCTCAGCCAGGTCAGCAGAGTCACCAGAGGTACAGACCCAACGAAATGGGCCAAAACCCAGTGAAAAAATATCCCTACAGAAAGGGGCAAAGATTAAAACTAGTCTGTGAGTGAGTGAGTGAGTGAGTGGTCTGCTTATGGTCACTTACCCCATTATGTGTTGGACATATGAGGGATATTTAAACTCAGTAGCCCCTCCCCCTTTCTTCTCTACCTTCGCACCTTGAAGAGACAGAAGAAAACTTGGTAACACTTTATTTTACTGTGTCCTTATTACACAATACATGTAGTTACTATAATAACTATAAATTATGGATAA